TTATTATAAGTGTAAAATGCATTTGCAAATGTCTTCAAAGACCTTTTATACTAATTATTCACTTTTTGCACATAGAACATTTGTATTGGAGTGTCTCAAAGCACTTATAAACATGGATCAATTAAAACTCATAAAACTTAATAAATTGAATTTTTTTCATAGGAGATGACAGTGCTGTAAAGAGAAGTTTAGTGACTTCTCTAAGGATTCACAGAAATCTGAATCTTCAGTTCTCAGTCCTGTTCTTGACTGTTTAACCATTTCCAATCGCCTAGTTGTGATTACTGAGTAATTTCCAATTCTATTTATCTCTCTGCTCACATTTTAATTTTCATCCTTTTGAGTTATGAACAGAAAACAATAAACACTTAGATATTTCGTTCTACCACTGCACAATTCCAAGGAAGTCAATCCCTTAAAAATTGGTAAGTCAACGAGCAAAGAACAACAAAAATAATAAAGAAATAAAGAATGAAGAAAAAACAAGATACTAGAAAGCTTCTTGAGACAGCTGAAAGGTCGTCATTGTCATCATCATCATCATCCTGGAGAGATAAGCCACTCTTTTGGTTTCTCATATTCCTGTGCAAAAGGGAGCCTCTTTACAGAAGAATACACTAGTTCTCACAGTTCTTTTTTCACTCTGAAATGGTCTCTTCCCCAGTCAAAGTATGATCTGCCAGTTCAGACTTTTTATGCCAGAGAAAACTGTAAGTACTTTGTTTGATCTTTGTAAAAGTGCATAACTTTGCAACTTCGTGACTGTCAAGTAAGTACTTACATTCAGTCTCCTCTGTGGAAAAAGAGTTATCCGACTTTGACAAAGTCCCTTCCAGTTCACTGTGGAAAACTGCTAACTTCCACGTTCATGTGAGATGTAAAGTCGATAAGGCGTCAACTAAATCGGGATAATAGGTTTATATAGCACTACATCATTAAACTTGTTCAGCTTATGGGCTTCATTTCTTCCCTGAATTAGAATAAAAGTTCCAAGCCCCAGAGATAATACTCCCATTTCATTTGTTCAGCAACAGAATAGATCACGCTTCCGTGTCATTTATACGCAATAAAGCTTTTTCACACAAGAGAGGTCAGGTACTGGTCCAATTAGCGGTCAACCCTAACTGTCTCTGAAAAGAAGAGCCTCATAACGCACTTTCCAAGTTTGCAATAGCTGCCCACGAGATGCAGCTGTCCCTTGTGATAATTAGTTTACACCCTGAAGCAAGAAGCTTGATTACCCCAACATAATTAGGTTAGCCATGTCTACAAATGTAATTAATGGTCTTAATGGTATCCAGCCTTTAAAGAAAAAAAAAGTAACATTGTGAGTCAGTGATGTCCCCAGGCTGATTGCAGTGTATGTAACATAAAGCGTTTTGTTCAAAATCTACTGCCATTTGATATCAGCAAGTGCATCTTTCTTCTTGAATTAGGGAACATAAAACATCTTCATCACTGTATGTATATCAATGTTGAACCTAATGGTAAGCAAAAACAGATTGCACACTGCTCATATCCACCCTGATGTTAATGCCTCATAAGCAGAGAAGACTCTTCTGAGTGCTGCTTTTTATTTAAATCTTACTTTAGACCAAGTCTGTAAGTGAGGAGTAGAAAAAAATGGTATGTGACAACAGCTAGGTAATGTGAGTGTCTGGGCTATACCTAGACAGTTCTGAAGAACTTGCATGTCACTTTAGACGTTTAAGTCCAATGTACAGGCACCTGCGTGATATCCCAACTCTACATATCTAGCAACTACCAAAACTTGTACATATTTGAAGTTCTCAGAAGACTGTTTTCTGCCAGTAGGCGCCACCTAGATCATGGCACCAGTGGCACAAGCAAAACCAAGCCTGCTCAAATTCTCAGACAAGATATTTTTTAGCCTCTCCCTTTTTTGGAGCCCAATTCAAGACACAGCTTCAAAACACACCTAGACAATTGTGTTAGGGAAATGAAACAGCAAGAGAAGAGACTGTCTTGGCTACCTACACTGCATCAAGTAGTTCAGTGGTTAAGGCAAGGAAATTAATATGGTCATAATAATGATTTGGGCAAGCACTCGTCAGGGAGAATGCTTTTAAGAGAGCAAATCCCCAGCAGAACCCTGTTACAGGGACAGCCTCTCCTTTCCTAGGAGTACCTTTTGCTGTGTAAATGCCGTGCTGCTTCTGAGTCACATATGTTATATGAGTGAAAAACAGTGTGTCAAAAATCTTCAAAATTAGCTAAGCCTGGATATTGGTTAACTGCAGGAGTCTTTCATAGATGGATGACAATGTGTGGCATTGCCTCAATTAGGTGCTATGGCAGAGAGAGAAGCTAGTCTACAGCCAGTTTAACCTGGAGAGAGGCCTTGATTAATCGGCATCAGAAGAGTAGTTTTCTAGTGACCCAGTATTTGAAACTATCTATCCTTTCTTGTTTTAAAATCTTTTGGCTAATATAGTTATTAGCGGTGACTCACCTAAATACAATAATTTCATATAAAGACATAAATTAAAGGAGCCAAACTTTCCAAGTCATTATAAAAATAGAATCTAATTAGGATTGCTATGTGTTCGTATGAGAACTAGTTGAATTTTGATGGCTTTCTTTCAAGCAGGTGGGAACGGTATACTGATTGTAGATGAAGTTACTTGGTTTGTGTTTTCTAACTTGATTTTAGTCCTCAGGGAGAGTGAACAAACCCCAAAGTAAGAAAGTTGCCTTCTTTAGCCTCGCAAGGCTTTATCTCTTCATAAAGTTTGGTTATAATTCATCAGTCTTCATAATGCACAGAACTCCAGTTGATGTTATTTAAAAAATAACAGTTCCAAAAAAGAAGTTCTCCCTTGCTTCCAGGGAGGAGCAACTGGGAAGGGACTCTCTTCCCCTTTGAAAATAAGTTATTTGCTAATCTCCAAGTGTAAATCACTGGAAAAAGTCCTCTGCAGAGTGAGCAACCATAAGCTAACATTCTTCCTGAAATACCTTACTGAACTTCTGCCATGCAAAAGGAAGATTAATTTACACCAATGTTGATGTCACTTTACTTCTATTGCTTGTCTTTGGCAATGCACTTCAGGTGTAAGAAGGAAAATGTGAGTGAGCCACTGTGTAGTACAGAATTTAATGCTTTTCTTCCCACAAACACCTCAGGTAAATACCCTTAGATCTAGGATAAACAATGCTGAATTTTAACCTGCCTGTATCTTTTCAGCATTTAATAGTTTTTGCTTCACTACCCTAAAGTAATTTCTAAAAAATTCAGGGCTTTGCAGCTATGGTTAACTGCTTATCCTGGGCAAATTAAATTAAGCCTCTGGCATATGATGAAAAGTTTGTTTCACCTAATTGAGCATCTAATGAGTATGGATGAATTTGAGCTACTCATAGAAATTTTGCTTTTCAAAGCTTTTCTGATTAACATCCGCTCAAATGGGTAGAGAAACATATTGAATTTATACATACTTAAGCTTTTGAAAGAAAGCTTAAAATAAACTTATGACCTCTCCAGAAAGCTTCATCTCAGTGTGCTGTGTCTTGGAGTGGTATCTGTGGTTATTACAGAAATACCCTGACCCATTTTTCCTTTTGATACACACAATTGCTTCTTCTTATTTCATTAGGCTTTTCCATACAACACTGTGTACGCTCACTAAGAAGCTGCGCTATTCAGCTTTCCGATTACTCTGATCAAACTGGCGTTGTCACTTTTTTCCCCTCTAGAATATGCACCTGGCAACTTGATGTAGCTTCTTTACCACCAAAGTGTCAAACAAGCAGGGAAAG